TTCAGGTGAGGATCCCTCCCACAAAGTCCTTTTGTTTTCTCAGGTGCCGAGAATGTGCTGGGCAGGGAGAGAGAGGGGAGGGTGTCTGTCCCTTTTTTTTAGAGTCTCTTCCCCGCTTTGAGAAGCATTTCCAGCTGGGAGCAAGGCAACAGGCAGTCTAGTGAAGAAAGAAAACTCCATACTGTTTCTTTGCTAAAATGTAGATTTTTGTCCCTGCCCAGTTCCTTGCCAAAGAATGGCCATTTAGCAGGTAATGGTCCATCAGCCTTGTTAACACCCGCTGAGGCATCAGAGCTTGCCCTTTGTCTCTGAGAAACTGGTTTAGCCACACCCCAGATTTATCTGGGAAACATACTTCTATCATGATTTCAGCTTATGTTTATAATTTTACATATAATGTTGCTACGTGCATTTTGTCATGATATTCTTGATGAGCAAGTTATTTAAATAATACCTCACACGGCATACCTTGTACAAACATTATTACAATAGTGTGTAGGGTGAACACAGGGGTATACTCTGTCAAACTGAGGTTGGCAAAAATGTAGTCAATTTTTATTTTTGAAAGGCTATGTCCTTCTGCACGTTCCAGTCTTGTCTGGAAAACAGAAACACTTCAGTCCTGTGAGAAAGGCTGTTTATAGTATTTGATAATATAAGCATCAAAACTTTTGTTATCAAAACCAAACCTTAAGAAGATCACCACTGGCAGGCTAACGCAGTTTGCATTGCCACTATTGATGGGAGTTCAACATTCATTGCTTTCAAGGAATTAATATTCATAAGGCACATTTCACCATTTTGTTTGTTTTGTCTTTTTTGAGTGTATCAGGTTTTCCTATTACCAGGCTTTTGAATCTCCTCATGGCTTTCTCACCAGGTTATACGACTCAATACTATGGATGGTGTTAAGCAGTAAAATGAGCAATAGAACTAAAGGACAAGAAGCCTTTTTTCTGCTACCAACTTTTGAATCCTTTTTAAAAAGAAATGTCTTTGTTAAGAAATGTGCTTTAAATGAGATTAATTCTCAGTTTAGGGTTGCCAACCCTCCAGGATTGTCCTGAAGTCTCCAGGAATTAAAGATTAATCTTTAATTAAAGATTATGTTATATGTGATGAAATCTTCAGGAATACATCCAACCAAAATTGGCAACCCTATCACAGCTTTCCTCAGAAGGCTCTGTTTCCTTGTATCATTCATGTATCTTTCAAAGCTGTGTTTTAAAATCTCAGGCACTCTCCTGACTTGATGTTTTCATTTTATAATGGTGTAATACAGTTACAAGATAATTTGCATTTAGATTATGGTTTCTCTGTAGGGCCACCTTAACATTGGATGTATGAATTTCATCATCTCACTTTCCACTGAAGTTCTTAATATTTCATGAGATACACACATTAGATAACAGCAAAAGCACTTTGTGTGCAAAACACTCTTAAACAACAATAAGCAAACAGATCTCATACCCTCTGTCCTCATAAAAGGGAATATTTTGCTGCAGCTGCAAGTATACACATCAGTGCCATCTTATCCCAGAACTAGGTCAGCTCAAGTGGCCTAATCACTTCGTATGGGTAGTGGAAGACAGGCTGATGTGCTAATACTTAATTCGCACCCTTAAATTAATATTTGGAATAAACATCACTGTCTGTCAATATATTCTTAGTGTATTCCAATAGATAATGGCTTCCCCAGTTCCTCAATTATGATGACCATCTATATCTAATTTATCACCAGTCTATACATTTGTACAAAATGAAAAATGGTGGTAGTAATGCTAATAATATAGTTTGGGAATTTTACCTCTGCTGGAAAGTTATAGTATATGAAGACATGAAGGATACAAGGCCTTCAAATCTTACATCAAAGAGAAAAAGATTCTCCAGAAATTTGAAAAATGTGTTATTTGCCAAGAAAATCAAAACAATGCAAAACTGTCAAAAGCCACCAGTGCTGTGTAGATTTCTGTGCTGTTGGCAGCAGAAGCCAGGAGAGGTAACTTGTACTGGTGACTATGGGATGAGTTCACTGGTTTAGATGATGTGCCACCAATACTCTCACCATCACCAGTATTCTCACGATCGTCTTGAGTTCTGTCCCCAGTGACTGCTTTTCTAATGAATACTTCTCACCAGGATAGTGACTGAGGACTAGGTACTGAAAAATTGGCACAAAAGCTCTGGCACATCAAAATGAACCACTTTATGAGCACTAATGTAGATTGCAGAAATATACAGACTCTGTTCAAACCATGAGTAGGCAGCCTGCACACAGATGAATATCTATGATTTAAGCATGCAGTTTTTGGCATCTGATGTTAGACACACCTGGGAAGGCCAAAGACTGTGTATCTGTTCCCAGCTGGGCAGCTGGGACACGTAAGTTAAGGACCAAATTGTCAAAACATGACCTTCATTCCCCAAAATCATGGCTGGTACAAATAGAATATGGAATATAACATTCGTTTTTTGCATTTGAACCTTTCTTGCTCAACATTTTCTACAGTCTCTCCTATGCACATCGGGAACAAAACAATATTTGATTGCAATTTTTAACCCATAATATTCCATAAATTCAAAGTTAGGCTAAATTGATTAGCTACCCATTCCTTTTCCATTTGTTTCTTCTTATGCACAAACATTCCAAATCATTCAAAAAGCAACCTTCTGGTTAATACAAAGTAGAAGCATCATAATAATATAATATTTTGCTTTGCATTCTAAAGTGCCTTTCATCAAAGGATATCAAAGTGCTTTGCAAACTAATTAAGCCTTACAACATCCCTGTGAGATCCATCAATGGCTATTAGCCAAGATGGTTAGGGACACAATCCCATGCTCTGTGTGTCCCTAAAGCTCCAACTGCCAGAAGTTGGGACTGGATCACAGGGAACTGATCACTGAAAAATTGCCCTGTTCTGTTCATCCCCTCATAAACATCTGGCACCGGACACTGTCAGAAGAAAGGATACTGGGTTAGATGCACCATTGGTCTGACCCACGGCAAGCCTACACTCAAAACGCTACATGGGTGCAGCTGCGTCACTGTAACGCTTTAATGAAGATGCTCTAAGCTGATGGGAGAGAGTTCTCCCGTCGGTGTTGTTAATCCACCTTCGCAAGAGGCGGTAGCTATGTCAGCAGGAGAAGGTCTCCCACTGATATAGCGCTGTCTACACAGTGGGTTAGGTCACTGAGCGATGCGGGCATACCGATATAGAGCTGTAGTGTAGACCAAACGTCGGTATGGCCATTCTTATGTTCTTATGTATTGTTATCTTCATTTTTTCAGATGTAGAAATTGAGGAACAATTATACTAACTAAGGGCCAAATTGTGCCTTTAAAGCACAGCCCTCCGGTGAGAACTCCAGTGCTGCAACTGAGATCAGTGAACGTGCCTGAGATACAGCCTCCTCAGGTGAAAACAGAGGGAGCTGCTAACAGGATGTTCTTCGCCAAGACCTCTTAATTTTGGACATAATCCTCCACTTTGGTCTGAAATAGCCCATACCTGTTGGCCTTCCTGGCATGTTGCAAAACCCATTTGTCTGACAGGGCTCTTAGGGAGGGCTGGGGTATTTGGTAAGGAGTTTTGTCTTTGCTTGTTGGGCATGTGAAGGGCTCTGATGTATAAAATATGCTCCAGCTACTTATTATATGGTTTTGGGGGAGGGGGGAAAGAAATGAGGTAGTATTCTGGTTTTGTCATTATTTTTGTATTGTGTTTTTAATTAATCGGAAGGACATCTAGAGTTTCAGACAGGCATTCTTTCTAGTTGCATTTAAATCAAAACAAAATTATTTGACTTCAGCAGAACTACTCAAGTTCACCATTGAGTAAAAGGGTTCTGAGTATGGCCCTAACTGTTTGAGGTGTGTATTATTACTCTCATTACTATTGCTACATATTTGCAGTAATGCCCTCTATTTGCAGACTCTTCCAAACACCTATGAATAATCCCTGCACCACAGAGCTCACACTCTAAAGACAGAGATCAGAGAAGGGAAAAAAATAATAGGCAACTTCTATACAATTTATATATACATCAGCAAGATTCACTCTAGGTACCAGTTGAGAGCTGGTTGTTTCAGAGGGCTACAAATGTGGCGAGGCTCTTGTTGCGTGCATGCAAGAAGAAGTGCTTTTCAACAATGGAAGGTGTCGGTGCTGTTGATACATGTTTTAGTTCTTTCCACTGCATTCTAGATAGAGCTGGGTAACAATGGGTCAAGGAGCAGGCAAGACTCTGCCCAGCCCTAGGTGTAGGGCTGCAAACAGGCTGATTCGTGGGGCAGATGAGCAGGACAGTTGCCTGGATCACCATGTGGCTTGGTTTTGTGGCTGCGCTGCATGGGGGAGCAGGTGCCTAGAGGGGCTGTCCATAAGTTACATAGCACATTTCTGGGTCATTTTCACCTCCTCCTCCTTGTCACTCTTTGAAACACTGTAACAAACACACAGTATTAAGGGCCTATGACAGACTGTACTCCTGTATTCACCCCTTGCATACTATTGTAATAATCTTCGTACAAAGTAAGCCTTATGGGGTATCATTTGAAAATTCATAATTTGCTGGTCATTATTGTTCTGGTAAAATATGTGTGGCAACAATGTATGTAAAACTATAACATTCCACTGTATGGTGTTACTAAAATATGTTTCAAGTCTGGGGAGTGACCAAACCAGTTCCTCAAAGACAGAGGGAAAGCTGACACCTCAGCCAGGTGTAAATAAGGTCAATGGGTCATTACCTGCTAACTGGCTATTCATTAACTCCACCAGAGAGGTCCTTTGGGGTCATCTGCCTGTCCCAAGTCAGGATAAAGGAGGAGGGTTGGGCGTGGGGCTAGCAACTCCACCCCGTAAAAAAATCAACCTGCGACAGAAAAGCCAACAATAGAGATAACAGAGACTTTTAGCCTGGAAAAAGAAGGGTCTTCAACTCGAAGACGCATGACGCTGGGTGGTGAAAGTCGTGAGGAAGCCACTAAGCCGATTACCCTTCTTGCAACCAGGAGGATTACCATCGGTACATGGAACGTGAGGACCATGTACGAGTCAAGAAAGATGGCGCAGGTCGCAGCAGAGATGAGGAGCAACAACCTGACCCTACTAGGCATTAGCGAGACAAGATGGACGCAAGCTGGACAGAGACGACTGTTGACAGGAGAGCTGTTGCTGTATTCTGGACATGAAGAGAGCGACGCATCTCACACACAGGGAGTAGGCTTCATGTTGTCCAAGCAGGCACAGAGAGCACTGATTGGTTGGGAGGCACATGGTTCCAGGATCATCACAGCATCCTTCAGAACTAAAATTAAGAGGATTAAGATGAATGTTGTACAGTGCTATGCTCCAACCAATGACAGTGAAGAGGGGGACAAAGATTATTTTTATAACAGACTTCAGAAAATATTAGAGATTCTCCCAGACAAAGACATCACCATCCTCATGGGAGACTTTAATGCCACAATTGGACCTGACAACACAGGATATGAACAAGGCATGGGGACCCACGCTCTGGGAGAGATGAGTGAGAATGGAGAGAGATTTGTGGATCTGTGTGCACTTAACAACTTGGTCATAGGAGATAGCATCTTTCCTCACAAGCGGATCCACAAGAGTACCTGGGTATCGCCAGCAGGCACGATAGAAAACCAGATCGATCATGTCTGTATTAGCAAGAAGTTCAGAAGATCTTTGCAGGACGTTAGAGTTAGAAGAGGAGCAGACGTAGCGTCCGACCATCACTTAGTGGTGGCCAGATTGAAGCTGAAGCTGAAGAAGAACTGGATAGACGTGTCAGATAGAAGAGTGAAGTACAACGTTAGCCTTTTGAAGGATCATAAGATCAAGGAAGATTTTGGACTGACGCTGAAGAATAAGTTTGCAGTACTACAGGATCGGTCTGAGGAAGAGGAAGACAGTGTACCCAACAGATGGCAGAAAGTGAGAGAGACACTTAGGTCAGCATGCCAGGAAGTGCTTGGAATCAAGAAATACCAGCAGAAAGAGTGGATCACAGCAGAGACCTTGACTAAGATAGAAGATAGAAAGAAGAAGAAGGCAGTAGTTAATAACAGCAGGACTAGAGCAGCAAAGGCTAAAGTGCAAAAAGAGTATGCTGAAGCCCATAGAGTAGTGAAGAGGAATATTAGGAAGGATAAGAAAGATTATGTGGATGGACTGGCAGCAGAAGCAGAGCAGGCAGCATACAACGGTAATATGAAACAGCTGTATGACATTACCAAGCGACTGTCTGGAAAGTTCAGCAAGCCAGAGCGTCCCGTCAAAGACAAGCAGGGAAAGTCTATAACAGAAATAGAACAACAGATGAATAGATGGGCGGAGCACTTTGAGGAACTCCTGAATAGACCAGCACCACTAAATCCACCAGACATTGACCCAGCCAACGAAGACCTTCCAATCAATTGTGACAGACCAACCAGAGATGAGATCAGAAAAGCCATCACTATGATGAAGAACAGGAAAGCAGCTGGACCTGACGATATTCCAGCAGAGGCCCTGAAAGTAGATCTGGATGCTTCAGTGGAAATGCTGTACCCCCTCTTTGAGAAGATATGGGAAGAAGAAATGATTCCGGCAGACTGGAAAGAGGGATATCTTATTAAAATCCCCAAGAAAGGAGACCTCAGCAATTGTGCCAACTACAGAGGAATCACACTTCTGTCGGTGCCAGGGAAGGTCTTCAACTGAGTCCTCTTAGAGAGAATGAAGGATGCCGTCGATCCACAGCTACGAGATGAGCAGGCAGGTTTCCGGCAAAATAGATCATGCACGGACCAGATAGCAACGCTCCGCATCATAGTCGAGCAGTCTATGGAGTGGAACTCCTTGTTGTACATCAACTTTGTTGACTATGAGAAAGCATTCGATAGCGTGGATCGAGAGACTCTCTGGAAGCTCCTTCAGCACTATGGCATCCCAGTAAAGGTGGTCAACCTGATTAAGAATTTATATGACGGCATACATTGTAGAGTGATCCATGGAGGGCAGCTTACAAACAGCTTCCAGGTGCGAACCGGAGTCAGACAAGGATGCTTGTTGTCACCATTTCTCTTTCTCCTTGTCATTGATTGGATTATGAAGACATCCACTTATGAGCGTAGGAACGGAATCCAGTGGATGTTGTGGACCCAGCTTGATGACCTGGACTTTGCCGATGACCTTGCACTCCTTTCGCATAGCAAACAGCAGATGCAAGAGAAGACCAACGTAGTGGCAGCAATGTCATCACAGGTTGGCCTCAACATCCACAAGGACAAGACCAAGATCCTCAAGATTAACTCCATCAGTAATGACCCAGTCACACTGAATGGAAGCCCTCTGGAAGAAGTGCAGTCCTTCACCTACCTAGGCAGCATCATCATCGACCAACAGGGTGGCACGGACGCAGACATCAAAGCAAGGATCGGTAAGGCAAGAGCAGCTTTCTTACAGCTCAAGAACATCTGGAGCTCCAGAGAGCTGTCTTTGGCAACAAAGATTAGACTGTTCAACTCCAACGTGAAATCAGTCTTATTGTATGGAGCTGAAACCTGGAGGATAACTAAAACAACCATCAGGAAGATCCAGACCTTCATAAATAGTTGCCTTAGAAGGATTCTCCAGATCCGCTGGCCAGATACCATCAGCAACATCTACCTCTTGGAGAGGACCCGTCAACTTCCAGCAGAGGAAGAAATTAGAAGGAGAAGGTGGGGCTGGATAGGACACACACTATGCAAGCAGCCAACCAACATCACTAGACAGGCACTGCGGTGGAACCCCCAAGGCAAGCGGAAAAGAGGCCGTCCAAGAAACACCTGGCGACGCGACCTTCAGGCTGATAGCATAAAAATGGGCTATACCTGGAACCAGCTAGAGCAAATGGCCCAGGCAGGATAAAGGACTCTGGAGATCTGTGGTTGGCGGCCCATACCCCGATTGGGGTGACGGGCATGAGTGTGAGAGTGAGTGGCTATTCATTGGCAAGAAAAAGGGCATGGGCAGAAATAAAAATTTTATTAAGATGATGTTTAAAAAAAAAAGTGAACGGTACAGAGTTTAAGCATAGAAGTGTCTGGTTATCAGGGAATAACGTACAGATTATCAAAGGGTGCCAAATTCGGTTTAAGATTGGATGGCGTAAAGAATACATAATCTGCAATATCCCCGATTGGAGGTAAAAGCTTAACGGGTCAAAGTACAGACATTGAGATACGAGGGTATGTTGTTCATATAATGGCTATGTTCAAGTGTATAATAAGTGAATACGATGATGAGGATGGATTGACCTTCATTTGGTGAGATTTAAGGTTCAGTGAGTTTATTGTTCCAGTTCATATGGTCCAACGGAAAAAGTATCTCGGTCCCTTTCTCGTAGTCGATGCACGATGTCGCTCAGGCTCACGCCTCCTGGTACTGTCAGTGGCCGGCGATGTGTTCGATGTAGATGTCCCTGGACCATCGGATTGTGTCTGAGACCATAAGTCGCCACATGAACCGTGCATAGCATTGACCAATCCCGCAGGTCCACAGCACACACTTGTCGCAGGGGTCCCAGGAACCCAGGGCTCCGACGATCAGGGTGTCCATCTGCACCTCGTAGCCCTTCACTCTCAGGGTGTCGGCCAGGGGAGCGTACTTTTCCAGCTTACGAGCTCAGGCTTTGTGAAAGACCGGGGTCCTGTTCTCAAGGGAGACCGTGACGTCAATAAGGATGATCTTTTCCTGGGCCTCGTTGGTGACAATGACGTCAGGTCACAGCTGGCTGTCAGTACCGGGGATGGTGCAGTTTACGGCCACCTGCCCCAGGCGCGGTGCGATGGCTTTCACCAGGCGGTTCTGGATGGCATTGTGGCGCAGATCTACATCTTAGTGAAGAAACAGAATGGGGTTCCTGTTCACAGAGTCTGCTTGTCACCATACTCCCAGCTGGAAATGCTTCTCAAAGGGAAGACAGGACTATAAAAAGAAAGGGAAAACACCCAAGGCACCCCTCTTCCTTGCTCTCTCTATTGATTCACTGCATCAGAAGGAACAAAGGAAGCAGCCATTAAAACAGAAGGAGGGGTCCTGGCCTAAAAAGTTTGGCCAGGAAGTCTGAGGAGAGCATGTGGTGCAAAAACTTTACCTTGAGTTTAACATAGTTTAAGTTAGGCACTAGTTGCATTTTATCTTTATTTTTATTGTAAGCATTTCTGACTTTTATGCCTCATTACTTGTATTCACTTAAAATCTCCCTCTCTGTAGTTAATACACTTTTTTTTTTTTATCTCATTCAATGTGTTTGAATTTAAGTGTTTGGGAAACTCCATTTGGAACAACACAATCTGTTCATATCCTTTCTGTTAATAAAAGGAGGGCCTTCATATAAGCTTGCATTGTCCAGGAGAGGGCTGGGCAGTACACAATGGGGGAAATCCAGGCCTGGGGGAGGAGCGGCTGCACTGGGGGTCACCCCACAATATGACCCAGGCTGGAGAGCGCCAGAGGGTAAGCTAAGTGTGGCTGGCAGGTGGCAGTTGCACACAGACACTCAGGGTGTGACCTGCATGCTGGGAGCTCCTTTAGCAGGGCATTGCAAGGCACTCGTGGTTGCAGCGCGTTGTGACATACTCATCAGTCTGGGCTGTACCCTAATGCACGGGTAGCCCCAGCAGGGCCTGGTGCCCGGTGACACACTTCGCCTGCAGGAAAACACAGGTGGGAGTGGGGCTGCCCCGCCCACCACGCGGCACACATATGACCCTCCGCGGAGGAGGCGGAGGCTGCATTGTCACGTGACCACCCCAGCTATTCGGAGGCTTAACGACGCCTCAGGCGCGCGCTCCTCATCTCATTCCTCGACTCTTCGCCCATATCGGGTTTGCGCACGTGCAGTAAATTGCGTCTTGGGGTCGCGACAGAGCGATCGCCGCGCACGCGCACTTGATTTTCTGTCACCCTGGTGTGGCAATTCCCTACGTGCCAAGTTAGTTTTCCATAATACGCATGCGTGCTCACTCCACACTCCCCTCAACAGTTGCCGCCGTAAAGCGGCCGTAGTCGCGCGTCACAGCTCCCGGCCTCAGGGCGCATGCGTTCCCGGGCCTGTCCGCATGCGTAGTAGGCAGCTGGGGAGGCGTACAGTGTAGCCGCGCACGCGCACTAGGTCTCAGTGCTGGCACGCAGCGTGTACAGTTGGTCGCCTGTCAGGGCCGCTGCGCCTGCGCAGTCACTGCTCTGTGGCTACCGCTCCAGAGCCGCCCGGCGCTCGGTGGGTGGGAGAGCGGGACGGAGGGTCAGGGCGGCAGCAGCAGCAGGGCCCTGCGGGCCGGCCCCGCCGCCGCTTCCTCCTCGCCCCCCCAGCTGACGCTGCTGGTGATGCAGCCGTGCAGCGGCGACGAGGAGGCGGCGGGGGGCATCGGGCGGCACCGGGGCCCCGCGCAGGCCCCGGAGACCTCCGGAGGCCTCGTGTTCCTGTGCGAGGTGTGCCCCAGCGAGGGCGAAGGGGACGCGGCCGAGGAGGGCGAGCCGGCGGGCGGCGAGAGCACGGCCAGCCCCGAGGAGCTGGAGGACGAGGAGGCGGCGACGGCCTCCGGCGGGGAGGGCCCCGCGGGGGGCGGGGGCTGCAAGAGCTGCACGTACCAGGGCTGCAGCGAGACCACCACGCAGGTGGCCAAGCAGCGCAAGCCCTGGATGTGCAAGCGCCACCGCAACAAGATGTACAAGGACAAGTACAAGCGCAAGAAGAGCGACCAGGCCCTGGGCGGCGGCGGGGCCGAGGCGCCCCCAGCGCAGGGCGGGGCTGCCACCCCGGGGGGCAGCGCGCGGGCCGAGGTGAGGGGTTAGTGCCCGGCTCACCGCTGTGTCACAGTGCCGAGGTATTAGGGCAGAGATTTGGGGGTGGGGGGGTAGCTGAGGCTACACATCAGCCCCTCACCGCTGTGTGCAAGGGTAGCCCGCTGTGCAGCGCCCAGCTAACAACACCCCGAATCACTTGAGTTAAGGGTGAGTTGCAGGTAATCAGCTTTTCGGTGGGGTCCCCCATTGGAGGGGGGAGACTTAGCCTGCCACTATTTGCTGCTGTTACAGGTGTGTGGGAGCGCACCTCCCTCACTGGAGAGCCACATAACTCTCCTAGTTCTCTTCTCCACTAAGGTACAGATTCAGTGCAGAATGGCATTAGTTATTTACATCGCCTGCCTAGCTTTTTGTCTGCTCCTACTCCCCGCACAAAGTGAGTTCTTTCTAACGAGCCTGTCAGCCTGGTATGATTTCCTGTCCGGTTGCGTTCCAATTATCTAAGCATGTTTGTGGTGGCCCAGGTAGTTCCAATAATAGTAGTAGTAATTCTCCTGTCCCAGAGAGAAATCCACACCCATCTTATAGACCGAGGCCACTGTGCCAGGGAAAGCCTTGCAGAGAATAACTTTTTGGCCATCTGCTTTCCTGCTCCCTCCTCCCTGTTTGTTACACTTATGAAATCCTCTAAGTATGCTTAGGCCTTGTGTAATACTTTAAACATTCAGAGCTATATTGAGCCACACAACATCTTCATAAATATTATCTACAGATTGAAAAACAGAGGCACAGGGATCACACAGTAAATCAGTGGCAGAACTGGTATTAGCACTCAGCTTGTTTTCAGCAGTTTTGGCTCTCAATTCCAAACTCTATACAATGTAGTCTCTGATAGTTGCCATAATTGTTATAAAGAGTTTTCAAGCAGATTTTGCATTTTGTGCATGCATTGTATTTTGGAATAGTTTTGGGAAGGGGGAAACTGCATTTCTTCTACTGAGTTTAAAAAAAAATGATGATGGAGGCGGTTTGTACTGAGGGGGTGGTTTTGGAAGGGGCAGGATTTTCTTTTTCCACAACTATGTAGTGTCTACACTAGCCTTTGAAGATTAGTGAGACTCAAGGTAGAATACACATATATGCATCTAATAAAGGCTGAGCCTTTTGACATTTCTTCAACAGTGTTGAAGTAGTAGATGCTAGGATAGATATTTGTCCGACCCCTTTCAGTTGGAAGAATAGTTAACAAACTTTATAGGTTGGGATGCCTCAGGCCAGAGAGAAACCAGTGAGGAATCTGCAGCACCTTATCTGTGCTGAACTGTGGCTAGAACTGCCCCAGCTGTGACTATAGCCTGACCTAGCCTCCAACCTGAGACTCTCTAGACCAGTGGTTCTCAAACTTTTGTACTGGTGACCCCTTTTACATCGCAAGCCTCTGAGTGTGACCCCAAAATAAATTAAAAACACTTCTTTATATATTTAAAACCATTATAAATGCTGGAGGCAAAGCAGGATCAGGGGTGGAGGCTGACAGCTCGCGACCCCCCATGTAATAACCTCACAACCCCCTAAGGGGTCCCGACCCTCAGTTTGAGAACCCCTGCTTTAGACACACATTACTTTCAGGGAAATATGGTTAAAAAGTGTGGAAGGAATAATTGGGCTGTTTCAAATTACTTAATTTTTAATCAAATAGATTAAAGTTTTATTAACTAGCTGTGGTAACTTGGTTAGGAGTCTAATTTAGAAGTCTAATTCACCAGTTTCTGGAGTCATGCTCACTGTGGCAAGTGGAGACTGGAAGCTTTATGGAGGGAAAGGGGAAAAACAGAACATTGGGTGGATTCTTTTCCTCTCTGGCACACCTTATTTCCTTCCACAGGTTAGGAAGGGGAAGCAGGCCCTTTTATTCTGAGATCTCCCCTGTAGAAATAAAAATGCATTGTAATGAGAACATATTAACATCTATCTTTCCTCTTGTATTTTGTCTCTTATGTCCAGGATTGCGTTGAAGGTTCAGTTTCTGTTACAAAACAAAGAACAGGGTCTATTGGAGATCGCCCAGCAAGACCTACTCTTTTAGAACAAGTATTGAATCAAAAAAGGCTGGTAAGTACCATGGCTTCACAAGGCTGAAGATAGTAGGATTGCTTTTTGAGAACCAATTTTTGTAAATTGCTCACTCCTTTTCTTAAAGATACAGATAGAATATGTATTGAAAGTTATTGGTGCCTCTCTGGAAACTTGGAAGTCAGTAGATTGCTGTTGTGCATTACACAGTTATATAAACAAGTTTTTAAAACTGAAATATCACAGTAGACATGGAAGATGCACATTTCGACATCTGCACAGAACACAAATATGAATAATCATGAGTATGTGAATCACAGTTACATTAGCTGAACGTGGACATTTCTGTACTATTAGAAAAGTGTGTAGTTCTTTGGGCAGATAGCATTCATAATGTATCTAGGATGGTTTAATCTGTTAATCCAGGGATCGGCAACCTTTGGCACGTGGCCTGCCAGGGTAAGCACCCTGGTGGGGCGGGCCAGTTTGTTTACCTGCCGCGTCCGCAGGTTCGGCCGATCGCGGCTCCCACTGGCCACGGTTTGCCGCTCCAGGCCAATGGGGGCTGCGAGAAGCCACGACCAGCACATCCCTCAGCCCGCGCCGCTTCCCGCAGCCCCCAGTGGCCTGGAGCGGTGAACCGCGACCAGTGGGAGCAGTGATCGGCCGAACCTGCGGATGCGCCAGGTAAACAAACCAGCCTGGCCCGCCAGGAGGCTTACGCTGGAGAGCTGTGTGCCAAAGGTTGCCGATCCTTGTGTTAACCCAACTTTGCTGTAAAGTCTCCAGTAAAACAGTAAGATGTGCACTTTAAATAGTTCCAGTGCAAGTTTCAGTCATGGCAGTGTAAGAAATAAAGTCAGTAGAAGTCTTAGACTCACTACCTCACTTACTATGATATTGTATACACCAGTGGTTCTCAACGTGTGACCCAATCAGCACTGAGCTGTGGTACCCCTCAGGGCCATACAGGTAGTATTGGATGTGGCCCACTATGGTAAATAGGTTGAGAACCACTGGTATACACTAACATCTGTTTTACATTCTAGTAAACACAAGATCATTTTTGTGGCTCCGTTAGCTGCCTTCCCTGAATGTCACTTACATGGAGGAGAGAATTTAATATATTTGGTGGTTTTGGCTTTTATTGTGAATGTTTCTACTGTACCTTTACCATTGTGTTTTATTCTCTTTCCATCAAAAGAGAATCAAACTGTTCATCTACTGCCCCCATTAACTATGACAAGCAGCATAACCAGCCCTGATTATTGTGCTGCAGGTCTCTTTAGGCACCTATGTGCATGGAGGACTCCAGATCCCAGATAGTCTGAAGATGAAAGTCTTTAAAGAAAAGACCTCAGAATGCTAGGTTTACAGCAAAATAACCTTATTTTGTCTCCCTTCTCCCAGTGATATACAATATATAGAAGAAGCACCTATTTAAAGTCTAGAAATAAACTTTGGAATAGTGTCCATGAAAAGGAAATTATTTTCTTTAATTCTTTAAAGTAGCCTGCAGAAAAATTGGAGTCACAAAGCCGCCCATTGGCTGCTGCTCTCTGAGTCTTGCTATTGGATTGCACCTCTTTGGCTCCCTTGCCTGATTGACAGTACCTTCACAGCTCTTAGCTGCACTTGACAAGGTCCTTTTAGTAATGGAAACTGAAAACACTTTTATGATTTCCCTAGAAATATAGCAACCAGATGCTCTTGGAAAAGTAAATATTTCTTTTAAGGGCCTTTGCACAAGATTGAAGCTCTATCATTCCTGGTTCTGCCCACCAAACAGGAAATGTGAGGCACAGGTTCTCCTTGAACTGTGTTGCTGTCTTCTTCAGTGCTTTGACCCTTTCTCTCATTCAGCAATATTCCTTTAGGAAAGATCCCTTTGTTTTTAATATATCCCACCTGGGGCAAAGTATATGGGAAGGAGGAGGACATGGTCTCATAAACCATAAGGGTATTTTTAAATGGAATGTTATTGTATACATCTTGGAAAAAGAACTGGCTTTTTGGAAAACTTCAAGTAGCACAAGGATGAAAACATTTCCTAATATAGTAGATAATGTCTAGCACTTTTATGGCACCTTTTAATCAAGGATCTCAAAGGATTTTATAAGTACTCATTTTGGGAGTTAGATAATTATTCCCATGCTGCAGATGGGGGGGTGGGGGTGGAAGGGCTGGGGGGAGGAACGGGGGAGAATTGAGGCACAAAAGTTGTGATTTGGCCAAGGCCCACAACAAGTTAGTGATAGTGCCAGGAATAGAACCCAAAACTCCTGACAAGACAGTGCTCTTCACAAGACAGTGCTTCCTTTCATGCTTTCATAAGGGTTGTTTGTTTCTATCTGGTGACCAGTTAGTATGATAAACTATAAATATTTTATATTTATAGAAATTTTACTTCAATGACAGGCTCTGTATTTCTCCAAAAGAACAGGGATTTGAGGTAGTTTGCTATATGGAATACAAGAAGTATAGTTCAAAATTAAACTGCAGTTAAACATTTTTAAAGCAGATGTTTACATTGTCTATATGACAGTAACTTATTTTTGTTTAATAAACAAAAGTATATAGTATTATGAAGTGGCATATCATGCACATCTTTCAGTCTTGATTCAGTTAACTGGAGGTGACCTTAATGTTGACTCCATTTCTTTTCTGGAGGTATTGTAATGATGAAAATGGTTCCCACTTTGGTGTGTTTTGTAATATGTTAATTTTATTGAACTCCCATTTATAAAATATAAGGAACAAACTGATATAATGTATAGTTCACAAATATGGGATATTTTTCTATTCTAAATATTTTGGTGTCCATTTAAAAAATCCTCTTTTCTTTAAGTCATTATTAAGAAGTCCGGAGGTGGTACAGTTTCTGCAGAAACAGCAGCAGCTGCTAAGTCAACAAGCTTTGGAACAAAGGCAGCAGCAACAGTTTCCAGGAGCACCTGTGTGATGGGGACAAAGATCTGCAGCAGAATCTTATGCTGAAGTGGTGGAGGGATATGTATCTTACATAAGTGAAAAAAGGCGAGTTAAATATTAAGATGGAAGACAAAACTTGTTGCTGCTGTATTATACCTGTATTGTTTTGTGGTTGCACTTTTGGGGTTCTGAGCTGCATGGATGTCCACAAATTTGTGAGCAAATTAGGAGGAATCTGATTCCCCATTCTGTTTCAGAAATGTAACTTATTCATAATTTTTTATGTAAATGTCATTGTATCAGTAATCCTTACATAACCCCCTACTCCTACCAAAGTCTTCCATTATAAACTAAACACTTTGCTATGTGAAAGATTTCATAGCTTCAGTGTAGTCACTCTTTGATGACAATCATTGAAGAAATAGAGGCAATTACTTTCTGTGGAAGTTGTGAAATAAAAAGTACTGACTTTGAGCCAGCCCAGTAAGATGACATAGTAGCATATTGCTCAGGGATATAGGAGGCTTGGAGTCATTAGCTTCTGTTGCACTAACAGTTAAAGACAAAATAATGCCACGCAGTAGCTGCACTAATGGCTAATTGTGTAAATCATTGGTTGATCCTGTTGGTGTGTCCATAATTCACAAGTCTAGCTGGATTGGAGTGTTTAACCATTCTCTCTAAAAGAAGTGCTACAGGGCTGTAACCAGCGTAATAGGTAGTTTGAAGGAATTGATGTGGAAAATAGCCCCAGAATGAATAGAAAGGAGAAATTGCCATTTAAAGGAAGAACTAGAGGCAAAAAAGAAAATAACCTAAGTTTTTTTCATTGTTTACATGGCCTTCCACTATCCAATGCTCATGAACTTTACAAAAAGTAATATTTAAAGAACTGGTGGTCAATAGTGGTGGACCATAGCTTGCTGAGTGATAGCAGAATAAAGTGACCTCTCATGGATGAACCAATTTAAGAATTATATTAATTATTATTTATTTGTCTTGGATTTGAAAACCATGAGTGACTTTCATTCCTCTCTGTAAGTGAATAAAATGAAATATTTAGAGTTAAAGTTGTTGAATTTAGTTATAACAGCAGCTGTATGCAAAGAGTAAAGTTAATTCCATATCACTTGTTCCTTATCAGTAATCTTCCTCCTCCAAAAACAAACCTTTTAAAAAGAGCTTAATACAAAAGAAATAGAATCTAATCCACTCGGGTTTCTAGTTAATTAAAATTGTTCATTTTAACAATTGGTTTACCTGTTTAAGAATCAAAACATATCACAAAACAATGAATCCTGAGTTTTCCTTAGTATTAAAACTAATTTTCTAGTAGAGGGTTTTTAAGTAATAGCATAGGTACTTATTAGTGGACCTTAAAAGTTTGTACCAAAGTCACAGCTTAATAAGTATCAATTCAATAATATTTCTGTTACTCTTGTATGGGTGTTGTGTAAGATATATTTATTTACAGAAATTGTTCAGATAGCGATCTATTAAACAGCAATTGTGTGTCTGGAATTGTGCAGGTGGTTCTCATTTCAAATATGTTTTAAGAAATTTTGTATAAAAAATTTTGGACCAATAAGTGTTCTTTGAGCAACTCTTTTGTAAAAACTCATGTTCATTTTTTTTCTTCTTTGAACTTATTGTACATTCATTTTTATGTTCTGTCTCTGTATTCAAATAGCTAGCTCTGGTTAGGTAGCCTTAAACTTTGCTGCATTTCCAAACTGCTTGTGTTCTTTCAGAGAGAGAAACTTCACATTTAAAAAAAAAAAAAAATCAGATACTGTGTTTTCAGGGTGTAAATGGTTATATGAAAATTAAAAATAAATACCAATTTTATAGATTTTTATTCTGATATTTATATATAGAAGAAAGTAGTGGGTTTTTTTTGTCTAATTTGGCTAATTTTTTTTTAGGGTTTTTTGTGAAAACATTTTGGGGGAGACAACTTGCCATTCAGTTAACTTTTTTTTTTTTAAACAGTAGTCTTAGGTACTACACTTGCCCCAGAGCTCCCATGCCAATTATTGTGATTTTATACAATCTCTTTTTCTTATTTTTAAAGTTTTCTGGCTTGTTAACAATTTGCTGGGCCCATACATAAGAACATCTATACTGCGTCAGACCAGTGATCCATCTAGTCCAGTATCCTTTCTTCTGACAGTGGCCAATGCCAGATGCTTAAGAGAGGATGAACAGGACAGTTATCAAGTGCTCCATCTCCTGTTGTCCGCTCCCAGCTTCTGGCAGTTAGAGGGTTAGGACGCCCAGAACATAGGGTTGCATCCCTGGTCATCTTGGTTAATTGTCATTGATGAACTTATCTGAATCTTTTTGAACCATTATAGTTTTGGTCTTCACAACATCCCCTGGCAATGAGTTTCGCAAGTTGACTGCATTGTGTGAAGTACTTATTTTTTTTGTTTTGTTTTAAACCTGCTTCCTGTTAATTTCATTGACCCCTGGCTCTTGTGTTATGGTAAGGCCAGCCCTGTTCATATGAGGCGAACTGAGGCGGCTACCTCAGGTGCCAGACTGTGGGGGGACGCCACTAGGACCCAGAGTGTAGAAAATTGTCTGCTGCTGGTGCATATGTATTCTCGCTGCTCTAGATGCACAGAGATGGTGGAGTGCTGTGCTGGAGGAAGGAGGGCACAAGAGACATGGCAGGCAGGAGAAAAGGTGAGAGGGAGTAACAGAAAGCAGCAGGAGCTGCAGGGAGAGAGAGGAAGAGGAGCCTCTTATGTACCTCTCTAGCACTCCCAGAAGTCTGGACTGATTAACACCAGCTTCTCAGGGAGCTTCCTGTTTCCTGCTGCTTCCCTGAAGTCCACTTAAGGAGAACAGGCAGTCAACTGGAGTAGTAGGAGCCAGTTAGGCCCTTAAGATGCTGATATCTTCCCTCACTCAGGCCCTGCTACCAGCCTGCTTATTTGTCCCCTTCAATTGAGTGTTGAGAGCCACTATAGCTGGCACAGAACAGCAGTCATGAGTGAAAGAAGAAAACGCCCCACTGGGGCAGCATTCAGAAAAAGAAAGAAAGCAAAGGAAGCTTTTCTATTGAAGCAGGAAGGAGCTCTCCTGAGATACATAGACACGAATGTTCACGGTGAGCCTTCTGGCCCCAGTGAGGATGTGAGTGGTGAGGAGATGCCTGATCTTCCAGGTAGTCGGAGTGCAGGTGACCTGACAGCTACTGCAGCATCCATATCTCCATCTCAAATGGATGTAACCATGCACATTCCTGAAGAAAAGTGTAGATCAGAGGAGTGTGGTGGAGGCGCAAGAAGCAGCTGCTGCTGAGTTTAGATCCTTACATCTAGATGATCCAGGACTCTGGACCCACTTGAGCAATAGCCTGAGGGACTTCCTTGTACTGCATGGGCCACAGCAAGTGAAAAACTTCATGTTCCCCAAAGACAATGAAAATAGAAGTTTCCATCCAACGCACTACTGGCGTGAAATCCCCAATGGTGATAAAGTGGAGAGGCCATGGCTTATGTACTCAAAAACCCAGAATGCTGCATACTGTGTTTGTTGCAAACTCTTCCAGTCTAATGTTTCAGCCACATTGGGTTCTACAGGAACAAAAGGACTGGAAAAATCTGGCTAGAAATCTGGCATGCCATGAGAAGGCAGCAAATCACCAGAGAGCATTCCATAGGTGGAAAGAGCTTGAGATGAGACTAAGGTTAAAGGCCACCATAGATGATCAGCATCAAGAGAAGATTGCATCAGAGTCTCTACTGGCAAAATGTTCTGAAAAGGCTCATTGCCATTGTGAGAATGCTTGCTACCCATAACCTAGCACTGTGTGGCACTTCAGATCAGCTGTATGTGCCAAACAATGGAAACTTCCTTAAAATTGTGGAGCTGATGGCTGAGTTTGATGCTGTACTTCAGGAGCATCTAAGAAGAGTCACCACCCAAGAAATGTACACACACCACCACCTTGGGAAAACAATTCAAAATGAGATCATACAGTTACTGGCAACAAAAAAACAGAAGATTGTGGCAGATCTGAAGTCAGCAAGTCTGTTGTTCTGGACTGCACACCTGACATCAGCCATACGGAACAAATGACTTTAATGGTGCGTTTTGTAACAACAACAGAACCTAGTGAAAATGTCCCTGCAGTAGTGACTGTCAGAGAGCATTTTCTAGAATGTATTGACATTGATGATACTACAGGAGCTGGTATGACAAATGTGCTTCTTAAGAAGTTGGAAGATACAGGAATTGCGATAGCTGACATGAGAGGTCAGGGCTATGATAATGGTGCCACCAGGAGAGGAAAGAACAGAGGAGTGCAGACATGGATCCGAGAGTTAAACCCTCGAGCTTTTTTTGTCCCATGCAGTTCTCATTCATTGAACTTGGTGGTCAGTGATGCAGCATCAGCTTCTAGTGAGGCTGCTGAATTTTTTAATGTAATTCAAAGCATTTTTCTCTGCATCAACTCATCGATGGCAAATTTTGAAGCAACATCTGGGAACATCCTCTCTGACACTGAAACCACTGAGTGCCACACAATGGGAAAGTCAAGTGGAGGCGATAAAGCCTATCAAACACCAAATTGGGAAGATAGAAGATGCCATAGTTGCCATTATGGAGGATAATGCTATGACAGGAACTGTTCGTGGGAGAACAGTGGCAGAGGGAAATGGAATCACCAGAAACATACATAACTTCAAATTTCTGTGTGGCTTAGTGTTGTGGCATGACATACTGTTTTTGAAATAAATATTGTAAGCAAAGAGACTCCAAGGTGTTGACCTTGATATATCTGGAGCAATGGAACAACTGGATAAAGCAAAGTCATACCTACAGTCTTACCGGACAGATGAGGGATTTCAAAACGTTCTGAAGAGTGCACAGAAGTTGGCAGAGGAACTTCACACTGAAGCTATTTTCCCACCCATTCAAGAATACAAGAGTCACCGAAGAAGAAGACATTTTGATTACAAGGCACAGGATAATCCCATAAGAGACCCCAAACAACAATTCAAAGTTGAATTCTTT